GATTATCTTTTTTCAAATTGTGTGTTGAAGTCTGTATATTAATCTAGAATAGGGATACTCAACCCCTTTTTTTCCGCCGGGCGACATGTATATGATAACTATTTTACGCGGGCTGCAACATGTGGATTAATGGGGATGGAGCGGGGGGTGCTTTAAGAACATTTAAAATGCGGGAAATTGGCCAAAATATATATTAACACATTTCGTATTCTGAATTTTGTTTTAAAACTATAATAAACTCTATCAAACTAAACTCACAAAAAATAGATTTTAAGCATTTTTTACCTAGTTATGGGGTAAATTCGATTTCCTTTCATCAATGACACCAAGTCCCTTGTTGCATTCTACTATCTTTAAAACAAAGTTATCATGTACTTTGATAATTTGATTTTTTTTTTCTTTTACAAAGCGTCACATATATTTTTACCTCAGATATTAATTCATCAAGTGCAGGATAGAAATCAGTACTATTTGTTTAAAAATAACTCAATTTTGCTTGTGAACTTTTGTTTTAAATTTATTAAAATAGTCTTTGATCTTACTGAAAACAACATCTGAACAAAGAACTGAATTTATCAGAGTTGGAATCATTTAAGGAACACTAACAATTTCTGTATCAAGTCATATGTTTGTTCTTAGAAGTTTTATATGTTTATCAACATATATAATGTAACAAATTTCGTAGGAGGCTTTTGTTATCTCTGCATTTTGTGACATTACCACCCACAAAATATTTTGTTGTTGTTGCAAAGATTTTTTTAAGAAAGCCAATTTATCTCGTCTTGTAAGAGATCCTTAAGAAAAAGAACGATTGAAAAATTTGGGCTCTGTGGTATAATGACGAAAAAAATTACATTTTTTAATATAACATTTTTACGACAAACCAAACATGTTGTCGATTCAGGTTTGTTTTCCCTACAAAATAATCAAGAGATCCCAATCGTCTTGAAACAACATATATTCTTTAGATAATTTTAATTTGGAAGGTATGAGGGTTAATTGAAAAATAGTTTCATCCATAAATTGGTGGCTATTCCTCTGCTATTTGTTATCAATATTCATTACAATTACAAAAAGAAAAAAAAATATCTCGTAATTCATAACCTGCACGACATCGATAGCAAATAATTTAATTATTCTTAAATAATTGAATTTATTCATGCAATGGGTCATGACCGGGCCACTCAGAAAGGTCTGGTGGGCCACATGCGACCCACGGGCCGGTGGTTGAGTATCGCTGGTCTATAACAAGGGAACGATTTCAGTATATTTAATATCTGCTGTAATCAATGAAATCTGTCTAAAATAAATAAAATACAAATGAACTGAATTTTTTTCTTAAAATATAAATGCTCATTATCAAAAAAAATTCAACATCAAACAATCACACAAAATCAGAAATCATCAGTAATTAAAAGGGTAAACGAGTACAGAATACATACAGAATATGAATGAACTAATGTATTAATATTTTCGTTATAGTAAAATTTTAAAAATTCACCTGATTTAAAAATCCGGTTTCTGTTCATTTCCAGAAATAACAATTTGACAGTGCGCTTCAATATTATTTCTCAAATCTGTCATATAAGCTGTGTATTCTGAAAAATTTCTAATAAGAGTACAAAATATATTTTTGTTTTGAAAATCACAAATTTCGGGAGAAATAAATTATTGTACCCATAATATGTAAAATCGAGGGAAAAGCAAATGTGAAGCCAAGGGACAAAGATGTCACGCGGGGCTTTCTAAAAATAAAAAAAAATTATATTTAGTCGAATTTCTCGAAAAATGCTGACTGAAAGACAAAATGAATATTTCCAAATCAAGAGACATATTTTTTAGAATCGTTTACATTATACAGCGTGCATTTTCGAAGGAGTAGTACAATTAGAAGAAAATCCTGTGAAAGTCCAATGTATGGCTTCATTTTAAACTCTCTTACGTTTCTGAGTCGTTTGCATTTATATATGAGCACGAATATCCCATTTAATAAACTGTTTTCATGTAAGATCAAAATTAGGCAATTTATAAGAAATTGCTTGATATAAAATTATATATATGGTTAAAAAAACCAATGCCATAGAAAAAAATGAATTATTTGTGATTTACAATTTTCCAGAACCTTATCAATTAAAGTGTACGATTCACAAAATGTTTAAAGTGAGCCGAGTTAAAAGTGAAGTTAAGACGTTTATCACAGTCAGTGGGCATACTCAATGAATGCATATCGGATGATCTCCCAGAATAAAGGTGCGTATGTATAAGTCTCGTATATATGACCAACTAGAAAATTGCTTAAATAGCACCTAGTCTTCAACAGGGCAGTGATTTCCAATGTAAAAAGGAGGGTTTTATATTAAGTAGTTTAATATTAATCTCAACATTCCATTTGTTATTTATATAACTGTCGTTTGTAGATTCTTTAACATACCTTGCAAAATCACAATAAGGAATGATTACAACCGATAATTGATTTTGATTTCAATATGAGTAGGAACCCAACAAAACTTTGAGATTTTAAAGTATATATCACTTTCTAAATTTCAATAATCAGTGGATGAGAATAATAATTTGGATAACACAAAGACTCCATAACACTTTAGAATCTTAAAGACCAGAAAAAACTCATTGTTTGGAATCGAGACACATGCTATAACGTTTTCTTAATAACTTTTATCCAAGCTGTAAAAACAAAACTTGCAGATGAAGCTGAAAAGTTTCATGAAAAAAAAATGTATCAGGTAAGAGACCACCTCGGGATTTATTGACTTAGAACCCTCCACATGAAAATATGAATAAAATCCGGCAGTTTTTTCGCAAAAGTTGTCTGCAATTAATATCGGCGATGTCTCTTTCTTTACCGTGGTAATTTTTTTAAAAAAAAATCAAGCGTGTTTTTTTTTCTTGTACGGAAGAGGAAAACTTTTAGTTGGTTTTCATATTGCGTATTTTATAAATTCATTGGCTAAATTCTTAATTTGTTTCTTTCCTTTTGATTATTTCCTCTAGGGCAGGGGAGGCGAACCTCTATGGATCCACGTGCCATTTTTTTCTAAAGAAATGCTTAATGAGGTATAGACGTGCCCTCAAATAATTTTGACTTGTGATTATTGGGAAAATAATAAAACTAAATACTAACTTCACAAAATTCTTTATTTACTACAAAAAATACGTTTTGCACTGTATAGTAACAAATGTTTCAGTTATACGTGTCATTAAATTTAAGTAACATTAGTGTGATTTTTGTTGTTACAGAGTATATATATAGATGACAAATACCGCAAAATCCGACGGATAACGCGCACCCCCTTATTTACGAAGTAACCTGCAATGTATGTTAGCAGTGCTATTTGTTCGAGGTATTGCCCCAAGATTTTGAAAAAAAATAGTTTATTTCTTGGAAAACAACCCTTTAAGTTCATAAGGTATGACATTTTTTCTTTAAATAAACAGTATTCCAATCTTTGTAGAAGTGTAAGTTTTTTGAAGTTATACTTCTTTTGGGACGTTAGAGAAATAGGTGATGATGATGATGATGATGATTTTGGTGTTTTATGGCGCAAGAGCCAGTTTTGACTATACTACGCCAAACATTCATAGGTCTGTGGTCTGGACGGGAAAAGAAGAAAAGTAGAAATTGGATGACAAGATGGAGGGTCGAAAATAGAGAAGGATCACTGGGGTACCCCGGGGTCTTAGAGAAATAGGATAAAGGTTAATTTTTACGATGCGCGCGCACACCGTCACGGATGTGACGCAAGACCGTCTCAGATGTGATGCACACCGTCACGGATGCGAAGATGCTTTGTCTAGAAATATATAGAACGTTACAAATCATTGCCGCCTTCGCGCGAAACTCTCAGTAAAATATTTCTCTTCACTTCCCTGAAGAAGGGGAAACCCTGGTTTGAACAGGAGACCTTTCAATCTGCAGTCGAATATTTTACCACTGAGCTATACACCTGCGTCAGCGAACCTTTGCTTTGCGTTCCGTAGGAACGGATACCAAAATGCTTTGTCTAGAAATATACAGAAAGGGACAGATCATTCCTGCCTTCAAAATTCTAAAAAAAAAAAAATATTTCTCTTCACTTCCCCGAAGAAGAGGACACCCGGGTTGGAACCGAGGTCTCTCGATCTGCAGTCGAATGCTCTACCAATGAACTATACCCCCGTGTCAGCGAACCTTTGCTTTCCGTAGGAACGGATTCGAAAATGCTTTGTCTAGAACAGGGATGGCAATCCTTTTTGAGACGTGGGTCAAATTGTGTCCAATTTTTTTTTAGAACTATCTCGCAGGTCACTAACACCTCTTTACACCAGAGTTAAGTTTAAAAAACTTTAACTGATTATTTTTAAATCTAAATATTTAAAATTCGGTTGGCTTAACGAATAAAAATGACCGTGGTTTGATGTTTAAAAGAATTTTATTGGGGTTAAAAATTCTTTGGTTCAAATGCAATAGGTGTTTGAATGAACAAGTATTAACGAAAATTACATGCAATATATATTATGAAATCTATTTATTAGTATATATATTCGTATAACAAAATTGATTATAAAGTATTTAATGAGAAATCTGTTGCTGTTTATTTTCAGATAGTTTTTTTAATATTAGGTTTATATTTCGTATTCATTAGTTTAGCGCAAATCGCAGTTCCCTGTTAAGTCTATTTCTATTAGAATATTTTACAAAAATCATAGAATAAACAATTTTTCACAGGAATATGTGAACCCGAACATCGTTAAAAAAGCATTAACTAGGTGTTTCAATTATATAAAATTATACTTTAAACAATCCTACGCGTTTTATATAATATTTTCAATTTTTATAGAAATAGAAAATAGAGGGTCAGTTAAAAAGCTTGCGTGAGTCAGTGTCTGACCCACGGGTCATAGGTTCACCATCACTGGCTTAGAAATATACAGAAAGGGACAGATCATTGCCGCCTTCGAAATTCCAAAAATATATATATATATATTTCTCTTCACTTCCCAGAAGAGAACAGCCGGGTTTGAACCGAGGACCTTTCGATCTACAGTCGAATGCTCTGCCACTGAGCAATACCCTCGTGTCAGCGAACCTTTGCTTTCCGTAGGAATGGATTCGAAAATGCTTTGTGTCTAGAAATATACAGAACGGGACAGATCATTCCCGCCTTCGAAATTCTCAAAAAAAATATTTTTCTCCACTTCCCTGAAGAAGGGAACCCGGTTCACTTTGATTTGAACCGGGAACCTCTCAATTAGCAGTCGAATGTGTTATACCTCTGAGGAGCTTCTCTGATACATTTGTTTGAACACTTTTTGTTACTAAACCAAACATACTTACAAGAAATTTAAAAAAATTAGTAAATTAATCTTTAAATTGGTTTCATGTATATAAAACATAAGAATAAATATTAGTTTACCTATTTAAATAAAAATTGCAAGTATATGATTATAGATGTATTTACTACGAACGCAATGCGATGAACATAAACACATTTCTACATTGTAGCAAATTTTAAGAGCCTTTTGTATTCGTATATTTATTTTTGAAGTTTTCCTTCTTTTTGGGCGTTAGGAAAAAAGGATGATGGTAAGTTTTTATGATTTTAAATTTTTACCTTCCCGACACCGATGCGCGCGCTCACATCGTTGTCTAATATTTTAACATGCCACTTTTTTGGTGCTATGGGACTGATATTTGGGGGATCATAATAACTATTTCTATAAATCATATCTGTTGGAACTCATCCCCCCTGTGCATTCCCCCCTCTACAGTTTGTCGGCCAATATCTCGGCACCCAAGCCTCGCAGTCCATTAGGACCTGGCTCATTCGATCCCTCTCAATCTGCTCTTCCAGTTATTATAAGTTCATGCTCATAGGGCTATTTCTTCCATAGTTTTTGTCTTAAACTTTTTGAATTTTTTTAAATTCACAGTATCTTGGCTCCTGTTCGAGTCTCGGACTTGAGATTTGAACCAAGTGTTTCACTCGTCGAGACCCATCCAGTCATCTGCTTCATTCACATTGTGTAGGCATGAGGAGGGCTTAAGCACTAAAATATCATGCTCCCGTGTTAATCCTATGTGGACTGGAAACAATTTCACCCCCCCCCTAAGGAATTGAGCTTGGAACTTGATTTTTGGAGGTCCACCATATTTTCGTATTAGAGCGAGCTTTACGTGGATTTGCCCCCCTCCTCCCCTACAGAGCTTCCCCAGAAATAACTCGAATCCTATGCCATCATGGTCGACCGTACCGGCTGGATTCGATTGTTCTTCCTATGAGCATCCTAGATATATTTTTTCAGGACCATAGCCCCATTTCTTCACCCATATTTAACATTTTCAAATTATTTTAGTTATAATTTTTTTAAAATCCCGCATACCTCCGAGGATTTTTGAGATTCGTTAATGAAACTCGGACCATAGGTTTTCCTCGTTGAGCTGTTTCATCTGTTATAATTCATATGTAGATAGTGGGCTTAGGGGGGCGTTATCACTAAAACTAGAATCCCCATGTTTTTCCTATGCGGTTCGATCTTTTGATGACATAACGGTATTACAGAGATAGAAGGATGAAACCTTGGGATCTCCTACTACTCTGTGTATCGTTAGGATGTACATGACCATTTACGTCACAATTGTTCCACTCCGGGGGGGAGTTAATTTCGTTTTTCTTTCCCGAGTTAGCGCCGTCCCATTTTCAACTACAGACTCCTGACCGGTTCTAATGGATTCCTCTTGTGTTTGCTCACAATCAGGCTCAGTTTCGCGTTGCTGGGTGCTCTGCTTCTATTAAATGTTTTAATTATTTTAAAATGACCATAACTCGGGGGCTCTTCAGGCGGAGGTCTTAATTTTCTCAGGAACGATTCTTACCGCCGAGACATTCAATATGAGATCACATCAGATGTCACATTCGGCTCACTTCATCTCCAGATACAGTCTGATACCCCCATGTTATTGGTCCTTTTGTCCTTGTGCGGGGGTGTTTAAATTTATTTAAATCGTGATTATTTTGGCTGGTCCAATTGACTGAAGGTTAGTATCATTCAACTCTGCTCGTCACCGCCTTTAGCCTTTGTCCCAGCTTGCCCTGCTAAAGATTTTTAGAAATATTTTAATTTTGTTACGCCAAAGAAGTATAACTTCTTACGTGCATACAGAAGTACACACACACTTTTATTTTTTATGCATAATGTATTCACGGTGAGTCAGATAACTCAAAATATTATGAATATATTTCTATAAAGCTTTTTTAACCTGATATATATGTTATTTTCTAGAGAATGTACTAAAAATATTTCTTATTGTGTGAATAATTTTTGAGTTATGGCTTGTTATTTAAATAATGGTCTCATAAGGAATGTAACATTTCTTATGTTTACTCAATCAGCTCTAAACTTGTCAAATTTTAATAAAACATTAAAATTTTAGTACATACTCTAGATAAAAGCATCTTATTTGTTTTAGTAATACTTTTACTGATATGTTAATTACTTTTTTCTCTAATTGCTTTGAAGTTTGTCAAAAATATTGCTAAATTTTACTTATAATTGTGATTTTTGTGAAGTTTAGATATTTTTAAAAATATATTGTTAGTTAAATGTTAGTATTTATTGATATTCATCCTTAAAAAAACATTTATAATGTTTTAAGGCGACATGGTACCACCTTTAAAATTTTTTTTTATTTTTAATATTTGATATTTGGTTTTAATTGTATTTTATAAAGGTTAATATTTAATAATAATTCCATACAAAAAAATTTTAATTTGTTGCAAAATGTTTGTAAAATTTAAAGTTTTTAAATTTTTTTAAACATTTTTTAAACCCCTAAGGCTTTTTTAAATATGTTTCTTTTCTTTCAAATTTTTTTTCCAAGTACCTTATAATATACTACATAAAACTGTGGATGGGTTTTTTTCTGCTACTGCTCTTTAATTTTTTATTAATTTTTTTATAGTTAAACTTACAAAAATTCTCGAAAAAACATTAATTTTGATTTTGAAATTTTTTATAAAAAGTACTAAACATGTTAGAGCTAATTCAATGCACAGTTTTACAAAACATACATTTCCGAACATGTATAAAAAGTTTCAAACCCTTACTTCAATTATCAAAAACGCCTTAGGGTTTTGAATAACAGTGAATGTACAAAAATTCAACATGGAGAAAAATGAGTTTAAAGTTTTCATTTCTTAAATAGCATGATAAAAAATTCCTCCAATAATCTGAAACTCTTATGTAATGTTAATTAGTTTGTTTCAAACTGCTTACCACATTTTTTTTTAAAAATTTACAAGAATAAAAGAATATACTTGTATAATGAATATATAAAAACAAAAAGGTCAATATTTCATAAAACATTATCTTAACAATTTTTAAAAAAATTACACACACATTTTAGAGTTTTTATTCCATGCACAGTTCTATACTACTATAATAAACAACATGTACACAAATATTCATACTCTTTTTTTCCATAATTTTAAAAGCCTTAATATATTCACAAAATCCATAGGCTCTTCCAAAATTTACTCGCAAAGAAGTATTTTTGCAAGTATTACATAGAGTATTTTTAAAAAGATTTGTTAATGCATTTTTATCAATAATGACGTATGTTGGAGATCTGGATATACCAGTATATTTTTCATCCAAACGAGAAAAAGTATTGCATTCTTCTTCAAGTTTTGCACACCTCAAGTTAGTGTTTTGAGAAACTTCTGAACTTGTCTTAACATCTGAAAACCACCTCTTCAAAGCTTTCGTTGTGGCAGATTTAGTACGTTTTTTAGGCCTAGGCATGTTAACTTTTAAACTTTTTGGAGAAATCACCAAATTCCTTGTCGTAAAGCAACTTTTCTTGCTCTTCAGAACACAGAGTACAAAAATATAGTTAAATTTGTAGGAACAGAACTTCAAAGAAAACGCAGTAGAATAACTCTCATATAATCAAAACAAAACAATTATTTCATTTTAGTTTAAACACTAATCAGCGTGGAGTAAAAAAAAATAGTTCCTTATTTATCAGGCTCTTTTCTAGCAGACGATCTGAAAAGTGGGCGTGGCAGCTTTGTTTAGTCTACTGACATGCAGCAAAAATGGATAAATAACTGAATAAAAAAATATAGATACAACTCTGAAATTTTGCAGACACATTAAGAAGGATTAAAAGCATCATATAAGCCAATAAAAAAAATCTATAGTTTGATGATTTTTAGGGTACCATATCACCTTAATATGCTATTTTTAAAAAAAAGTACCCCAAACGTGTTCGGATACCGTGAAAAAGCTCTAGTTCTCAAATAAATATAAGAAAAATATTATTTTTGGAGAGTGTTGTTTATAGCTTCTGATTCAAGTCATAAAGTAATGAAAAATATAAACCAAATCATTATATTTTAAAAAACTTAAAGGTATCCGAATACGTTCGGAACCGTGATTTTGCAAAAGCGAATAAATGGATAATTTTCTCATGATATTTAGTCTCACTTAGATTAGAATACATGTATACAATTGTTTTAAGGACACACATTTTAACAAAAAAAAATTATTTAAATACAATATTTTCGGCAAACAATTAACTTAAAATAACCTTTTTTCCAAATGTTCTTCTTTTGTGAAAAATGCTTCTATTATAATATTTTGTCTGTATATGGCTCAGACCTTTGTACAGAGGCTCAACTAAAATTTTTGCAATATATAGCTTAGAAGTGGGTTTATCCATGTTTTACGGCAACAGAGGGGAGCAATTTTAAGAAAAAAACGTCGATAATTATTTCAAATGTTTGTAATTCTTAAAAGAATGTGATTTTTTCAAAAATCATAGTTGAGCCTCTATAAAGAGGTCTGAGCTATATACAGGCAAAATATTATTATTATAGAAGAATTTTTCACAAAAGGAGAACATTTTGAAAATGGGTCATTCTATGTTCATTTTTTGCCAAAATATTTTATTTAAATATTTTTTTTTCAAAATTTCCTTAAAACAATTTTATACATGTATTCTATTCTAAGTGACACTAAATATCATGAAAATTATCTATTTATACGCTTTTTTAAAATCACGGTTCCGAAC